AAAAATAATAGTCAGTTTATTAAAATTAATATATAGGAGTCAATATTACTTAGATGGACTGGTGATTAAAATCGTTTTCTAAGTGCATAGCAAATGTGAAAGGTGAAATTAATACTTTGTTTTTCCTAAAGAGTTTCGTAACGAACAGGTGACTCTTCCGATTCAGATTAACAGCAGAAAGATGTGAAAATTTGAATTTTTATAGCGCATTAGAGTGAATTAGCTATTCTTGAGATATTTATTAGATAAATATAGTATGATTTTACTGAGTCACCTTCCGATTAATCGGAGTAACACCGGGGAAGATGCCTTCGATTAATTCAAGGATAGTTAAAAAACCCAATAAACAACAGTAACCCATTTATAACTAACAGGAAAATACTGTTTTAACAATTTAAATTTTTTCCGATAGTTTACTCAGAAAAATAAATTTATTTGGTCACGTAATTAAATGAGTGCTCAAAACAAAGAAGAACACACTATAAAATAACGAAAGAATAAAAAATTCAAGTTAGAAATGATCTCTTAGAAAAACAGAAGAACCTAAATTGTAAATGACATTAAAAAATCATATTGACAACAGAATTAGAAATACATCCCTGAGTTTAAACTCGTACAAAAATAGCAGTTAAAGCTTTGTGTTTTTATTGTATGATGCTTATATATTTTGTATCAAAGACAACTAAATTGCGTACTGTTTGTTTTTATAAAAACAAACTCAAGAACTACGATATCATCTGTTCTCACTTTTGTTATATCATACGTTTTCTTTTCCCTTTCTAATTTACCGTAAATAGTTTGACTTTAACCTAATAGTTTGTTATAATTTTTCCATCGTTACGGAATAAACCAATCTAAGCTTTTTTTTAGTTTCTTTGTTAGAAAGGGTTTAATTAACAAGAAGTTCATTTTATATACAACTATATTCAAGGATGGATTAAGATGAAACGCGATACTTCCCGAATTATTGTGTATCTGCTAAAAAAATTATTTCCCCTTGAAAATTCAATGTACCTTTGGCAAATATAAAATAATTTAATTAAAAAAACTGAAAAAAAATCTGAAAGGTTTCACTTTTTAAATTACGTCCAAAGGGACATTTTTTAACATTTTGTGTGTTATTTATATTTATGAAATATCTTGTTCTTCGCGCTTAAACCATAAAATTCAGTTCAAGAACAATATCGCAAAATAATTTTAAAATGAGCATATATATCGAGATTTTGTATATATATTATTATATATACAAAATCTCGCGAGCTGGAGATAAAAATGTTTTCTCTTTACAACGTTGCCATTGCTAGCTTTGAAATCCTTGAGTTTGTTAATAAAAATTCGTTAAAAGTTTTATTAAGTATGAAATAGATAATAAAACAAATTCCATCAAATTTGGGTTTGCAGATGCCCTCATTCGGATGGAAATCTTCAATATTCAAAATTTGATGGCTCTAGGTACCGTTGTTTTATCACAATGCTAAAAACATACATACATTTATGCAGATTCTTCATTATTTAATTTCTTTAAATATAATACATGGAGATAATACTTGGTGAGAACAATTTAAAAAGTGAAACAACGCTTATAGTGAATCAAGGCAAAATGCCAAAACGAAATTAATAGTTCTTTTGAACAAAATTGCCCCTTTGAACTAATAATGTTTTCATTTTGTTTCTACTATAAAAAGTTTTAACATTTTCGTTTCATCTGTATAATTCTATGAATCAAACATTTATTCAGGCTTAATAGCATTTTCAATGGTTATTTACTCGACAGTCCAATTTCACTTTTATATTTCACAATTCTGAATTAGTTAAGGTACATATTAATTTCATTTATTTTATTTAAGTTATTATTGAAATACTATTACTAGGAGGTACTAATTAAATTCTAATATTAAATATATAATTTTTCTAATAGTTCATTCGAATTCTTTGCAAATATATCCCCGTACAAATGTTTCCGAAGTTCTTCATTTCGTGACTGTTTTAAAATTTTGTATGCTTTCGTGTGCAGGTTGTTATAGAAAGAATATATATTATAAAAACAATCTGCATGAGTGTGGTAAAATACGGAGTACTTAACGTAAGTGAAGGAAAGCAGAGCAAAATTTTGTTAATGATCGAGTTGAAATTAATGTTTTATATCACTGATCTCAAGTGACAATCCCTCTGTATCATATTTTATAATAATTTTATAAAGGTTTTCTGTTTTTAAGAATACTTTGCATATATTTTACAAGGTGGCACTTAACATGAATTTTTTACATCTATTAATGTGTATATTTTTTATTTACACAATTAAATTCTTCAATTAACTTTTGCTGAAAACTGAAAACCTAATTTTAAAAATTTACAAAAAAGCAAAACAAACTTGAATATTATTCCATTCAATTGCATTACATAAGCCAAATTGTTTTACAACTTTCTTAAAGTATCACAAAAATGCTTAAAATGCTCATAGTTAAAGATAGGTTTAAGAATTACTTGAGAATTTAATGCTAGTATATTTTCAGTAGCAGCAATGAGGCTTTGGTATTGAATTCTAAAGATTCTGCCAATTCTCCCCTAGCATTACCTGAGTCGTTCATTTCAGTTTTAATTTTGGAAGATATTTATACATTTAAAGCAAAAGTAATACTTTCCATATACAATTTCTTTTTTAATTTAATAGATTAAAAAGGAAATCGATAGAATCAAAAAGGTTTCAAGTTTAGATAGTCATAAGTTAAGAGATGATTCGCAGCGATCTTTCCAACTCAGTCACTAACTTTAACGGTTTTAAACCTCGTAAGTTATTAATCGCTATAGCAGGAATGTAAAACAACAAACTGACACAAAAGAGTCAACTAGGGCTTTACTTTTCTAGAGTTATTACGTACCACATGCAATAATTTGTCAAATTTACTTTTCTAGAGTTATTACGTACCACATGCAATAATTTGTCAAATTCAAAGTAATATTCATTACAGCAATACGTATTTAATAACTGGCACAAAATTTCACGTTTTATGGACATCAAAATACATCAAATTTATTAATTCTACATAAAAATACACTTATATATATTTTTTATTAAAAACAGCAGCGAACGTTAGTTTAGCTTTTATGAAAAAATATGTAAACAGTAATACTTTTGTGTGTTCCTTTCTCAAACAACACTTTATGAAAACTTAAATTCTTTTTTAATATCATCATCATTTGCTATGTAAACTTATTTAATGTTTTGCAGTTTTTAAGAAGCTACAACTCAAAACTCTTTCATTTTCAGAAAATCAGAGATTTTTAATGGCTTTGTAGTGTTAATTTTTGATGACATTACATTACAAATATGAAAAACTAAGGTCTTTTTAAGCTAAAGAAGACAAATAGCATACGTACTTAATTAGAATCTTATTTTAGATATCTAAGCAGGTATTACATTTTGTCTGTGACTTTATAGCGTCATAAACCTTACAGGCCTTTATTTTAACTAAAAGTCTCAAATACGATGCAAAGTATATTCTACATTAGAAATTAAGTATCCTGAATTAGGTTACCTTACATTAGAAATAATTGTCGTTTTTAGGCAGCTTGTTTTTAAAAAGTTATCATTAGTATAATACACGATAACTAAAATAGTTACTAATATGATATCAATTGTCCTCATAAATATGATAAAATATATACACATCTGTACAGTTAATTAAAAGATAGCCTGTGAAATGGAAGAATAACTTTTGCTAGATGTCTTAACCATCTCAGGAATGGTCTTAGAAAATCTATGTATTAGTAAAGTCAAACAACAATAATTTTCTTTAAAATAAATTTCATCTATAATCTGCAGTTTTTTAAATAATTATACGTAGCTTAAAAGTGCAGAGAGAAAACTGTTCATGTTAATCAAAGATAATTAAACGATTTTTTTATATTAAAATAATTAAAACTATGAATTATTTCGGATTCATGATATTTAATTGTATTTTTATGTAATGTCGGCACCAAGCTAAGGTCACGAATCAGAAAAAAAAAATTGTTTAGGACAAAAACTCTTAAAAATTTGGCCTGCTTTTTAAAAATTTTTTTTTGGAAGAAATGTTGGATAATGATTTTTAGACATTATATCGCTTACATATAATATTACATAAAACACTTTACTCATATATGTTGCATTCATTTTTCTCTTTTAACATAACGTGAAGTATCAAAAAACAACACAGGAAATATCGGAATAGTAAATATTGCAGATCGTGTTTTTGGCATGGTGCCAATGATATATTAAGTGATATTGATCAAAATAAAAGTCAAAAGGTCTATCTATGGATGAAAATTGCAGAAATACGGTTTTGTATACCTAACGCATACGAACACAAAATTTTAGTAATAAATGGAAAATGTTGAGGGATTTTAATGCCAAATAATATCAGTTTAAAAAATCTAACGAATAACAGACATCCATTTAAAATCTGCAGAACATTGACTGAAATCTTCTCGAATGTCATAATATTACCCTTTAACCCCCGCTTAGTAAAAACTGTTTACGTTTGTTATGGCATCATTGAGAAAAGTTGAATATTTCAAGACGTTTTGGTAAAAGCTCTATCTAAACTAGTAAATATTTACGAAGTAAATTACTACTATATTCATGAAGTACGCAAAAGAATTATCGTTTGATGAAGAAATGTGCAGCGAAATAACATGTAAAGGCGCGGATTCGTTTATGAATAAGATTTTCCCTTATTCAGTTCACTAGAGCGACTTAATGGAAGCTACGGACTTATGTCCGCATTTCTGTAGGTTGGGTCTGCATAGTGCTGCCTGCTTGTCTGTCCTACTGACCGTGTGCGTAACAAAAATGCTCTGTGACGTCAAAAAATGAAAGGAAATGCAAAGAAATTGAAGGAGCGAGAGACTGCAGTCTCTGGTCTAGGCAGAGTATACCCAAATGGCGCAAACTGTAAGAGACGCTGCTGGAGTTTTGGGGAGTGAGTATAAACAGATTCATTATTAAATGGCACACTCACCCTGGGCTGAGCGTTCCCCATGGTGTCTGCCCAAGGCGGCATCACACGCCTCCCCTCCCCGATCGTCCTAGGCGGGGGGTGGGGGAGCACGGCACGTGCAGGTGACCCAGGTAGCCGACAACATGGCCGCCGGTTTCTCCTTTTCGATTTCCGTGCGTTCTCTCCCTGCTTCTTCGAGAAAGTTCTTGTCGGAGATCACGTGGGAGAAATCGCGATCCGACGAGATGGAAGTCCTTGTGATCACTCAAGTATGCCCGGGAGAGAGTGTATCCGATTCTGGACAGGGAAAAAAAACTGGGAACCGGAGTGTGAGGTGAAGCGGAAAGACGACTTTGGCCCGATGTAGCCTTTTCCGAGGGAAAGCGATGACGAGGACACCTGGCGGCGGCTCTTGCAGTTTGCGGAGGTTGTGGTGGCGGTCCCTGCCGATATTGTTTCCGAATGCGAAATGTACTCAAGGATGTATGTATGCATGCATGCATGCAAGGAAAATCTCGATTTTCTTCCTTCCTTCCTTCCTAAATTTTTGCGTGGTACACTCACTCGCGTCCAGTGTTCTTTACGTTCATAATGACATAAACAAATATGGATGCTAGATAATTACACAACACAAAATTTAATCAATTTATAAGAGCTGTTACTTCATCGATATTCCTCCTAGGCTTTCTATAACTTGCAGCTGAAATATCAGTCACGGATTGCTATTTTATAATTATGATTTCTTTAGAAAAGTCAAATTGATGGGTAATATATTACCATGCCACAAAACTAAACGGAAACGGATGTTGAGCCTTAATAAACATATATATTAATCAAAGCTTTCTCACTGATTGCTGAGTATCATTATTTTGTACAGTTGGCTCTGATTAATCGGGTTACGAAGTACGCGCGCTTGTGTTAAAAAAGAAATTATTTATTGCGGATCGATGCCAAAAAAAATTAACTATCTAGGGAAAACATTAAGTAGAAAAAGACTGGAGTAAAGCACTGAAAGAATAGGTTGTCATATTATTTGGAAGCTGCTGCTATTCACAATTTTGTATAGTTTAATTGAACATAAATTCAGAATACATAAAGTTTGTAAATCAGTCCTTAAAAGTAAATTGCTCTAGAATAAAAATAAATAAAGCAACTTATCGTGTGTATCATTATTTTGTACAGTTGGCTCTGATTCATCGAGTTGCGAATTACATGAGCTTGTGTTAAAAAAGAAATTATTTATTGCGGATCGATGCCAAAAAAAAATTAACTATCTAGGGAAAGCATTAAGTAGAAAAAGACTGCGGGAAGTAAAGCACTGAAAGAATAGGTTGTCATATTATTTGGAAGCAGCTGCTATTCACAATAGTGTATAGTTTAATTGAACATAAATTCAGAATACATAAAGTTTGTAAATCAGCCCTTAAAAGTAAATTGCTCTAGAATAAAAATAAATAAAACAACTTATCGTGTGTATCATTATTTTGTACAGTTGGCTCTGATTCATCGAGTTGCGAATTACATGAGCTTGTGTTAAAAAAGAAATTATTTATTGCGGATCGATGATAAAAAAAATTAACTATCTAGGGAAAACATTAAGTAGAAAAAGACTGCGGGAAGTAAAGCACTGAAAGAATAGGCTAGCATATTATTTGGAAGCTGTTACTATTCACAATACTGTTTAATTGAACATAAATTCAGAATACATAAAGTTTGTAAATCAGTCCTTAAAAGTAAATTGCTCTAGAATAAAAATAAATAAAGCAACTTATCGTGTGTTTTACACTAACGCCTGATGCAATGCAAGAGTAATGTAAATAAAAACATTGTTATTAATTATTTAGTCATGCGAGTTTTTCAACCCTGATTTAATTTATCTAAAGCATTAGTTGCACACGTCTTGAATACTGATTTAAATTGCATAATCCAATGCACTTATTCTCCAGGATTAAATTGCTTGAAAATGTACGTAAAGTGTTAATAGTATTTTTCCGTTAATGTGAGTAAATAATCTTTCATGTATCTCTTTAATCACTTTCAGATTAAATGATTAATTTTGATTTCACATTAACCAAGGAAATTGATTTTATCCACAGCAACTTGTAATTTTATCGCACATTGAACAATAAGCAATGAAAACTCCAACCGAATATTTTAATGTGAGTTAGAGATTTTGACATTATTAAACTTCGATTGTATTGTTTTTAATTTTGTAGAGAACTTAATTCCGTCATTGTAACTACAGTTTGGGTCTGAGAGGTAAAATTCACTGAACGCTGGTAGTTCGGGCTGAGGACTGAATCCCGCTGAACGCTGCTCCCATGGGTGTGGTATTTTCCATGTGTAACTTAAATACGAATAAGGTTTCCTTCAAGGGGCATCCCTACCTTTCCGTGCAGGGCCTAATGGCGGAGCAGGTAATAAATTTTTAAAAAAGGACATTTATTCTTCAATTATTGACAGTCTGTTCTTTTTTTTTTTTTTTTTTTTTTTTTTTTTTTTTTTTGAGTGCTGATTTAATGTATATAGTCAAATGAATTTATTCATCAAACTAAACTGCTAAAAACACAGGTAATAAATCTTCTCTTATTTTAATATAGGTTATTCTTTTTTCATCTCTTTTTTTTTTTTTCTTAACTGCAGTCAGATTAACCGCAATTTTTGAGGTAATTATAGATATCGTTTCCGGTTAGACCCAGTTCACCAAGAGCTGACTTACAGAATATATAATCATCTTGTTAGCGCAATGACCCAGCATTGTAATGATCCTAATCTTTTGATAATTTTATTACTAAATATATATAGAGAGATGCATAATAATAGAATTTCATTAACAACGTTCGTTTACATTCAAGTAACTGCATAAGGTATTTCTACCGAGTGCTTAGCATGCCTTCGTGGTGTAATGGTCCGCACGATCGGCGCATATTCGAGAGATTTTAATATTAAATTCACTGTTGTTTCAGATCACTCCTCAAAACCTGGCCCTTCATCTGATTCACTTCCCCCTTGGTTTTAATTCCCCTGATAAAACTTTTAATGTTAAAGAAGAAGAATTCGTTCTGCAAATAGAATCGGCAAATTTCATGCGGTTAATTTTTAACATGTATAATAATATCACTTTCTTTATACTATAATCAATGTAACTCAGTATTATACATATGTCGCTGGTCACTGTAAATTTTACAGCACCAAAACAGTTTCTTACATTTTAGTTTAGGTCGGGATTTCACAGCCGTTTGTAAATGTATATTTTTTGTAGTAGTTTGTACAGAGTAGTTTTACTCCTTTTAAGGAATTTTCATTGTAAAATTACAAAGCACCGATTAGCACCCATAATATATTTCTTAATTTTTGTATTACTATTGTTCTGAGAGTTTACTTTTGAACCAAAATAAACGAAACTATTCACTAATTCAAATTTAGGCGTATATTTTCTTACATTTCAAAAGAATGCATTTCAAGCCCAACATGGGTACTTGAATGCCTTTCATTTCACTTAAATAATTCTTGCCATAGACACACATAGCTAAGCTGGTGAAAGAACACGTGCCCGTTCTTGACAACTACATTTGAGCTATAAGGTATTTTTTCTCTCTTTCCAGCATGCTTCGTGGTGTAACAGTAGCACACTCCGTACGTATTCGAGAGGTCCAGGGTCGAGTACCGGGCGAGCGCATTGCACATATTTCACGTCTTCTGTTAAAAAAAATCTGATGTGTACACCACATGACTTCCTTGTACGGAATATTAAATTATGCGCATTTTTTCTTGCATTTCATTTAAACTTATTGGATTTAATTAAATCTACTTCGCCTACAGCGCATAAACCACAATAGAATAAATGCATTCTTTAAAATTCACTCTAGTATTTGTTTATCATAGCGACACTCTGGCACTAGATTCACTTAACAGTATTAATAATTATGTAACAGTTAACTTATATAATAATTATATAACGAAACTAAGTTAACTGTTATATAATCCAATAATTATATAACAGTTAACTTACATATTTCGTTCATATTATAATTCATAATGCACAAAATTTATATCATTTAAAGAATAGAATTATTTAATCGTTGCCACATGTTCTATTCAAATACTATAATAAAGCTGGAACGATGTGTAAAAGAAATTAAACAAACAAAACAAAAAAGAAACAGTTTTTCACACACGATTGAGTATTTCTCATTTAATTAATTTAGTTCTCACTTCGCGACAAGGCAAAAATACATAAAAACTCAAAATATCTGTATTAAAAACTACGAAGTAAATCTTAAACACTTATTTCCTCGAAAAAATTCCAGAAAGAAATAAGCATGATTTAATTGGTAATAATAACTGAATGCGTTATATTTGTTGTTGCAAAGCTAAGTTTCTCTAGATTGGCAACAAATCCACTAGTCTCCTGTTTCAAATGTAAACATCAATGGCCGCCATAAAAAAAGGCTTGGCGGCACTTAAACAACTTGAAAATTGTTGATAATTCTAAAAATATTGCAGACAGATTTACTAAAGGCATAAAAGCCTTAACCGGAAGATAAAAACAACATAATTCAATCATTTGTAAAGCAAAAAATGTACAATTTACAAACCTATAAGAGTAAAGAATACCTTCACTTCACGGAACTATTTGGTCTAACTTAATTTGCCAGCTTGCCATCACCATTATTACTTGAGTAAAAAGACGAAACACCTTCGTATTTATTAATTATTGTTCATTGAACGGGAGTTGGTTTGTTCCCCTTGAAACGTCAACTCATTTCCGATCAATAGCACTCTTTAGGTCATAATTGTTCTTTATTTCATTAATTACGGTTTCATATTTTTAATTTTATATAATTTCTACATGCCATCTTACCAGATTTAAACTGATGATCTATAATCCGGAAAAATCGATAATCCGGAATCGTCGAAGTCTCGACAAGTCCGGATTAACGACTTTTGACTGTATTTTTCGTTTTACGATGATGGATTAAATATATTATGACAGACTCTTTCATGAAAAACTTTTTTTCCTTTGAAACTTTATTCTTGACTTTGACCAGAGTTAGAATTTCGGAGAAGTCATGAATGTTTGTAAGTATGTAATGTCTTTGTAGCATGGAGGTGCTTAAAATACTGTCTAGCCGAGAAAGATCGCAAGAAGTTGGTGAAATGAGATAAAGCAGTGTGAAACCCTCAGATCCGTCCACCAGGGAAATCTCCTCCGAAACTGGGAAGGAGTTAGGCAGATTCGTATTTTTATCTAAAAAGTGACTAAAACTTAATATATTGACATGCGCAAAAACAAAAATGCTTATTTAAGCTTATTTTATTCCTACAGTCATCAAATTTACTTTACTTTCCTCT